AGAAACCGAAATGCAATTCCTTCAACATTCAACATATAAACCTGCAAAAGCAATAATCTTTTGATACCACAACAAAACTGCACTCCAAAGCGGTAATACCATGATACTAGTCGTCAAGTCTGAATAAATTATAATTGTGTACCTGTTTTACTCCGTATATGGTTTGAAACTAAGTAATAACCAAATTCAAACCCATTTCCAAAGGAAAGAACTAAACCTGATCAAGAGTAATAGGAACGACCTTGACCGAGCCTTTAACTTCCCCCCTCCGGGACCGCACCTGAATAAATTGACACAATGGCTCATAAGAAGGTACTATTGGGAACTAGAGTGCTTATCTTCAATGAAATCAACCTGAGATAGAAATGCATCTGCATCCTCTTCGCGAAAGCAAAGCAATCCAATGGATTTAGTACTATTGGGGTCGGAAATGAGCACGAACTCATTGTTGGCGTTGCTGACGGTGTACACTGAAGTTCCGAGCAGCGCTTTGGAAACGCGTTCCGAGCTCAGTTCATTACCTTCTCTGGGTTTCTGAGACACTGAAGCGAATGGTAAAGACGAATGCGCCGACTGCGAATGACTTCTTACTACCGTCGGCGGTGGTGGTAGAACTGGGAATTTGGAAGCTACTTTAGAGAAAAAACGCTGGGCTTCATCCAATCGGCTAGAGAGCTCGGCTCCGAAACGCGCGGAGTGCCGATTGACGAAGGCGGAGAGCGAGAGGAGAGGGCCGGGAGAGGGGGCCACGGAGGATTTCGGAGAATCCATTACACTGAAGAATGGAGAAGATGGTGGCTAAATTCATAGTCCACACTATATATAGTTGGGCTTCAAATGGGTTATTCACAGATTGGGTAACAAGTGCTTCCAATAGTTAAAGGAGTAAAAAGTCTTCCAAATTGCATAAAAAAGATTAAATAAAGTTTTACTGTCTGTACTTTGCCATTTGGGGCAGTTTCTGGTGGAATTTTTTGATGAAATTTTTTGAGCATCTTATTCATTAAATCTAGTTTACACATCCCAAATTTCAGCTCAAACGTTAATTGGGAAGGCATTCAAATGAATTCTTGAAGATAACTGCGCAGTTAAACTGCTACTCTCTATTTCATTCATTATAATTTATTACTACCTTTGTTCCATTTTTATGTGTTTTCTTTGGTTTTGACACAAATTTTAATAAAGTAGTTGAAAAGGTAAAAGTTGTAGTTGAGATTTGAGTATGATAAAGTGAATTGTTGTGAACCACATATTTCTTTCCAAAAAAAAGGAAAAGTGACACTTATTTTGGGACAACTCAAAAGGAAAAGTAAGACAGGTAAACTGGAACGGAAGAAGTATTATTATAAATTAGTTCATTATTTATTGGAATAGAAATATTGATACCTTTGCTTGTTGTGTTAAAATAGATTGATAAGCCTAAAAGACATTTTTAGAACACAAATATAATTTTGTTGTTACTACTGCTTTTATGATTGTATTATTATTATATGATTATTATTATTATATGATTATTATTATTATTATTATTATTATAGAAATGACATTTTATTAGGATAAGAAAAGTTGAAAATTACAAAGAACAAATAGGGAGCATAGCAACAAGTTGAGCTCCAACACCTTTTTGAATAGCAATGGACTCTCTTTCCAATTTTCTAGACCTTTACAAAAATAATCAATTAATAACTATGCTATTGTCCAATACACCAACAAGGTTAGAAAAAATTTCAACTTACTCTCATGAGTCGTGGCTAAGAGAACAAATGGATTGAGAATTCCCAAATTTCCCATTAAGTCTTGCTCCAAATATATTTGACGATCTCAATTTCTCATCCCAGCCTCACAATCTGTAAAGTCATTAAGACATATATATGAACAATTTGAAGCATCACAATTGCAAAGAACTTATAAAAATTTAAAGAATAAATTTTTAACACAATTATTAAATTTAAATAAGTCAAGGATATATCTGCTCTTATTTTTCCCGCTCATGTATCTAGCGGCATTTGCGTAACTTCTGGCTTTATACTATTCCGAATACACTGTCGGGTATTCTCACGTTTCTACACACCTCTTCGTTTCTACCTCTTCCCTATAGAACCTGGACTCTCTTCTCTTAATTTCCAATGGACTCTCTTCTCTTAATTTCCAACGATCTTCTCTTAATCAGCTGGACCATTTCAAATTTATTTCAAATCAACTCAGCGAGCTCATCTTCTTTAAGCACACTCGCATCACCGCCAAACTTCTCAGGTTAGTATGCCAAACTTCTCAATATTGGTTAGTATGCCAAACTTCTCAATATTGGTTAGTACATAGTATTATCTCTTAAATCTAAACTATTTACTCCGTATCTATCTATCTATCACACGCATGAAACATTATCTCCACTTTCTGTTCCCGTCTAAACTCTGTATATCAAATCTTTGAGGGGTGCAAATAATAGCCTTATATGCGAATAGAGGGGTGCAAATTTTCTGATATGGGGAGGAGACCCACTCTTCAAATTTGAAATCTTGCCCGCCCGTGTAACGTTTCTCCAAAAAATGAATATGTTTATTCATAATAAGTCCGGTAAACATATAGTGAAATTAGTACGAGCATATCTTTTGAAAAATAATTAATCTGCTAATGTGTGCTAACATAAGTTATTGAGTTATTCGAATTGTCATTTATAGAATGAGATGTGTTGATTGTGTTTGTCTCTACTGAGCATGTGTTCTATAAATTTTCTTTCTTTTCGTAATTTCTTCAAATGGCTATTTCAGCTTATGGATGTTTCATTTAAAAAAAAACTTGTTGATGTTTATTGCACTTGCTCATATGTACAATACCTATATTTGGGTAAACTTTTTTGGTCTACTTTGTGTTTCTTCTATTTTGTAAATGGTGCAGGGATTTCATTTTACACCATAGAAAAGGTGTTGTCAGATGCATTTTCAGTTTGGTCAATTCATTTTCAGTCAGGCAAAAAAATACACTCTTTATTCTTTAAAACTAAACACATACAAGTGCGTAACCTCCTTATGTGTCTATTTTTTTTTTGTTTTCAACTAAAATAGTCACTAATAGAACTTCAGAAAAAATCAAAGGGTTTTGGGTTTGTCACCTATGCAGAGACAGCCCTGAGAGAAATGAATGGAAATGTGTGTATACCTAAAATGTACTTTAACAAATATACCCCTATCTTATAACAAAAGACAAATTATATGGACAGATTTTTGAGAGAAAGTCAAGCATTTGAATTCATTCTACTAATCAAGTTTTATTGTTAATTGTTATTGCATTGCCCTTAAATAAGCAGTAACTTATAAAAAGCCTGAGATAACATTAAAAAGGGAAAAGACTGTCAGAGAAGGTTAGTAATAAATTTATGATACTCCTATCTACTATGTTACTCTTAAGCTCCCTCAAAAAATAGGTGCAAGTGTGGAGCTGATATAAGAGGAGTGAGTTTGAGAATCGATCCATTCATGGACAAACGAAGGATTTCTTTTGTTTCAAGAGGAGTGAATTTGAGAAGTAATAGGGCCTGTTGCTTTCTATTTTTGACAAACTTTGGTAAATAATAGGGCCTGCTGGTTTCTTATTTTTGACAAACTTTGGACCAAAAACAAGCTTAACCAATTTTAAGTTCTAAAACATACAATGAATGATTTAATGAATATGTGAAGACTTTGGTTAATATTTTCTTCAAGTAATAAAGTTCCCTAACTAATATACCAATCTGTTGCGTTCTTCTTTTGACACACTTTAATTTGGGAAATAACAGGGTCTGCTGCTTGGACATTTCATGTTCATTGCAATTTTTTGTTATGTTTAATTTAAATAAGTTGGGTAAGGGGTCAATACCAAATGAGGACCAAATTATGTTTGGCTTGGATTTGTCACATTAACTTTATTGAGATCCCTTTTTTCAGATTTGTTTTATTCGGTTGTAATTTTTTTAATCTTAATTTCAGCCACACAAAAGACAATTGACGGACCTTCAATGAAAGATTGGAGGGTGAGGCGTGGTGCTGGGCAAATCACTATGCCCAACAGTGCCAACTTGAATGCCGCTGCAAAGGTATAAATTATTGTCCAATCTAATGAATTGTGTGTTCCTTATACAGTCACATTTTCTTCCTCCACGTCTGTTTTAGATCATGTAACTATTCCTCTTTGCCTTTTTTACTCTCAATTATTTCATCATTTTTTTCTAATTTTACATGCTTAGTCTAAACTCCTGCATTGTTTCTAATGTTTGCAAGTTGTAACATTTTTCTCATTTTGTCGTTGAATTTGCCATATTTTTTGTACATAAATCACTTTTGAAACCACATTGATATTTTTCTAAAAGTGTTTTCTGAGAGAATATTTATGTTGTCTTCTGAGGGAAAAGAAAAAAAGATTAATTAGCATCTGATATTTTGTCATGGCCTTTTTTTTACTTGCATTCTTCTCATGTAGTATGTTAAGTATGCCTCATTCTCACTACTCAGTATTAAATTATTTATAACAAAGGACTAATTACAATCTGGAATTTGCTATTTGCTTAATTTACTTGCGTAGTTCAATTTGTTGTTCCGTATCTAATGTGTGCATTTTTGGAACACATTGCCTCAATTTACTTGCGTAGTTCAATCTGGAATTTATTTTTGCCTCAATCACTTTTGAAGCAACATCACTACTTTCCCCCCAAAACATAACCTAGAAAACTGGTTTTGAGGAAACCATTATGGCTGCGGTGAGAAAGTAAAAAAAAAAAAAAAGGAAAGACTTATCAGAATCTGGTATTTCACTTTGCCTAATTTACTTGCTTTCTTATCATATATGTATGTTAAATCTAACTTATTCACGTTTAAAATAAATGACTAACTTGAATTATAATTTAAAAAAAAATCTCTTTGCCAGTTTTAATTGCCCAGCTCATGTTTCTTGAAAATTTAAAATAGCCATTTTCATTTGATAGATTGGTTTAATTTCCAATGATGTGCTCAACCTGGTGGGTCCCCATGTCAAGCTTCTCTATGTTAACAAAAATGTCGGTTACCAGAGCAGAACACAGATTAGCTCTATGAACGGGGTTTGTTGTTCTTCTTGATTGAATATAATGAATTTCAGAATCAGGTGGAACTGATATATGTGCAAACAAGAGCTGGTCACAGTAAGCAATAAGCTACGAGCCAACATTTGAGGTTTTGCAGGTAGAAATTCATGAGTTGTTTCTTAGTTTTGATGGAGTTGGGGCCACCGCTATGAGTTTAAAAGGAGGGGATCCCTTGGTGAGCACTTTTTTTCTTTTTGGCATTTACAGTAGTTTACATTTATACCAATTGGAGTCAGTTTTGATACTGGTTACATACATTTTGGTTAATAGCTATTTGGGTGGGGTGGGGAAGAGCTGGACTTTCTACTACAACGAGGAATTGAAGTGAATGTCATACCTGGTATGAAACTTTTAGCATTGTGAAGACAAGCCCACTTTCTTTTTTTAATTTCATGGATCTTTTTTTCCAAAATTACTTGAGGTTCAGTTCATGTTTCATTGTTATATATATTTTTTGTTTCATTTGCAGGGGAGATGATATGAGGGAGATGAGGAGATCTACCAGAAATGTGATTAAGTTTTACTTTTTTTTAAATTCTTGGTTACCATAATATGCAGGGGATACACTTTATTTTGTCTACTACTTTGAATAGTAATGGGTACCACATATGTTTGTTTTTTGAGATCTGTACTGGAATTACTGCTACCCCATCCTTTTTAGTTTTTTATTATCAGCCTCATGG